GGGGCGGCAGCTTGTAGGAGGCGGCATTCCGCCCAATCCTAGGGGGGGGGGGGCGCTTTTTTTTTTTTTTTTTTTTTTTTGGTGGTGGTGTTCCGCTCCGGCCGCCCTATAGGGGGCAGTGGCGTGGAGGAGGGGAGTGCCCTGCAGCAAACCCGGCAGGGCAGCCCGCGTCCTTCCCTCCCAGCCGACTGGAGCAGCGCAGAGCCCTCCCGGCAGGTGGCGGGGCCACGGGGCCGCCCCCCTTATCTCTCTCTCCCCCCCGCTCCCTCCCCCTCCCCCTGCTAGCCAGGGCACATCTGCAGCGCAGGGAGTCCCCCTGCACCCTGGCTCCGGCCGCGCTGCTGGTTTTTTTTTTTTTTGCTTAGGGCGGCCAAAAAGCCAGAGCCGGCCCTGACCACAGGGTGGCCCTGGAAAAAACTTAGTTAGAGATCCCTTGGGTCTGTTGGCTACAGAGGCTTGGAGCTATAAACTAAGAAACTGCTCCTTTTGGTCTTGATTCTGAGTTTGGAGAATTAGGACTTTGTACATTCTTTGTAAATAAACAAGATTGCATCAAAGAAAATACCAGACTCCATCAATTTCTACTTCCAAATGGAACATCCCCAGGCCCTGAACTTTGACTAGCTTCTCAGGTCAAAAAGGGCAACAATGTAATCCTGGAAGAAAGCTAAACCTATTGAGCAGGGATCTACCTCTTAGTGTGGACCACAATGCAGGATTGAAGTCAGTGAGAATTCTGCCTGAGTAAAAACTGCATGATTTTTACCAATTCCCAATACTATTTAATGAATAATGATTTGCTCTAGAATACAGAACTAAATTTATGCAAATATGCACAAACATAGTAGAATGAACTATGCCTACATAGATGCATTTTTCAAAGGAGAGTCTTAATTTTATTGCACAGTAATTTCTTTGTGCTTGTAAAGCATCTGAGTAGGATTCCACAAGGGCTGTGAGGAGTCCAGGGTAGTGAATCTGAATGCACAATTGGGGCCCAAGTTATATCTAAAATACTGTAAATTATAAATTCAAGTTGCTCTAGGTTTTAAGTAGACCTAAAAGCTGAAGCTACTGAGTCAGCTAAAGCATATTTATTTAATTCTAATTACTCATAGACTTTAAGGTCAGAAGGGACCATTATGGTCATCTAGTCTGACCTCCCGCATGATGCAGGCCACAAAAGCTGACCCACCCAATTTCCCTTATCTCAGCTGTTGAAGTCTCCAGATCGTGATTTAAAGACTTCAAGTCGCAGAGAATCCTCCAGCTTGCGACCCCAGCCCTATGCTGCGGAGGAAGGCAAAAAACCTCCAGGGCCTCTGCCAATCTACCCTGGAGGAAAATTCCTTTCCGACCCCAAATATGGCGATCAGTAGAACCCCGAGCATACAGGCAAGATTCTCCAGCCGGACCCACATTTTACCAGCGATGGCACGTTATTGCCTAATTGACTAAAATCACGTTATCCCATCAAACCATTCCCTCCATAAACTTATCTAGCCCAATCTTGAAGCCAGAGAGGTCTTTCGCCCCCACCGTTTCCCTCGGAAGGCTGTTCCAGAATTTCACCCCTCTGACGGGTACATTTAACAGTTGTACTTTTGTTTTTAGAAATGATTGAACCAAGGTTAAAAAGTGGAACTCTATCAGAAGCTAAAATCTCCAAGGGAAGAGAAACGCTTCGACTGAGATCCAAAGGTCCTGCCATTGTGGAGAAAGTGGTATGTTTATTCTGGGGTAATAATTAGAGCATTTGAAACTTTTAGCATCTGTTAAATTTATGCAAAACATCAGATTTATCCTTCAGCAAAGTTTATGTGGCAAAATGGGATTTTCTTGAAAAATTCCAGCACAGCAAAATCTCAGTTTGTTAAATGTCACTAAAAGTTTGTTTAAAGCTACATTCAGTATTGATGTAAGAAATAAAAATAGTGGGTAATGGAACAAGGTGGCTCATTAGGAAATGTGTAATATTTATAGAAATAAATTTAAAGCCAGGTTACTTGTGGCATACATATCAATGCTGTGAACTCTCATGATTTTATTACAGGTCTCACAATATTTATTTCCCCTTCTCCCCCACCGCCCTTTTAAAGCCCCAGTTCTTGGAGCCATACGATTATGTGAGAATTTCAACTTGCATTTTAACAAACAGTTTCTAAACCTGGTGGCTCTGGAGAAAATCTAGAAAATATGAACCCCAACAGCTCAAAGTCCATAAGGCAAATAAAAAGTTTCCAAAATATATTACTTAATAAACATTATTTTTTAAGATAATTGTGATTTTTTTTTTTAAGAGTCTGACTCATGATTTTAGAATGCTTGGAGTCTCCAATACAGATACTTATGTATACTGTGCACTTGAATACACTTGAAATCATTCAGAGATTAGATTGTTCTGTGTTTGTACAGCACCTACCACAACGAATAGGTCCATGAATAGGACTCCTCGGTGCTACAGGTGGTGGTAATAATAATAATAAGTTTCAGTAATAAATTTATCAGCATCCTTTATCTGGAGTTTATAGGAATATGAAATTATCTTTGACCAAGGAAACATCTTTCTGCATTAACCTTCTTCGCTTTCAGTTATTATAGCTTATTACTGATAACTCAAAACGTGAAAGATGGCTGCATCTTTTGGCATTTGTCAGGGAAGTGAAAGGCGTGTCGCATCTGTTTTCCTGCCATATAATAAGCTAGCAATGGCACATCTTAGCCAAAAAGTTAGGTAAGTGTCACAGGGCTGTCCCTTTAAGGCCTGGTCCACACTACCCCCCAACTTCGGACTAAGATACGCAAATTCAGCTACGTTAATAACGTAGCTGAATTCGAAGTACCTTAGTCCGAACTTACCGCGGGTCCAGACGTGGCAGGAAGGCTCCCCCGTCGATGCCGCGTACTCCTCTCGGCGAGCTGGAGTACCGGCGTCGACGGCGAGCACTTCCGGGATCGATCCCAGAACATCGATTGCCTGCTGCTGGACCCTCCGGTAAGTGTAGACGTACCCTAAGAGGAGTCAGATGCCCTGCCTACCTGCAACAGGCTCTGCTGAAGGGAAGGAGCCAGCCCAGCTTTGCCTGGGGCTAGCTAACTGCCTAAGTAGCTGACTCCCCTTAAAGGGCCAGCTCTGTGACAGTGAATGACATGCTTCTCACTTCATTGATGTGCATGCCCAAAATGCTGGATCCCCCTGTCAGGTGGAAGGAACTAAAATGTATATCTTCTGTTCTACTTGTGCAGTGTCATTGGGAAGTCAGATGTTTCCCACTAACTGTATTGTACTACTATTTCACCCTAGACTTTTTTGGCGTGGGGTGGGGGTGGAGGATAAATCTTAACCAAAACCCACAACATTAAGATAGAAGATTTGCTTGCAATTTATTTATAATAAAATGGGAATAAATCAGATCCTAAATGCAAAATCTGGATTAATTTGGGTGTCTTGTAATTTTTGAAATTTGTAACCAAGATGTAGCATTTTATGTTTAGGATTTAAACTCTTAAGTGTTTTGTTTCAATAAAGCCCTCTGAAATTGAAGAAAAAGCAATAAAAAAAGTAGATGACCTTCTTGAAACATACATGGGAATAAGAGATATTGAACTAGGTGAGTATTTAATTAACGTATTTAGCACTGCTATTCGATTAAATTATATTCCTCTGCTTTGTTGTTGTAATTAATCCTTATCTAATCCTCCCTCTTCTATGCAATATGTATATGTAGTTGTGTGCATTATTGGATAGTGTGCATTGTTGCTCTGGTTTACATCCTTCAGTGGTCAAACATAAGTGTCAAGGGCCAGTGGTAAAAACGAGGCAGCAAAAACAGAGTTTTATCTTTGTTACACTATTACACAGCTCTAAGCACCTAAGATTCCTTAGCAGTGGAAAGATTATCAGCTGCCACAAATCTCTTCAATCAATATGTAATTTCGTTTTCATACACTGACTATAAATGTGATAAGTTGCCCATGGAAATGAAATATGAGAAAAGGATTCATTCAGAGAATGCCAGTAACTGTTCAACTAGGAATTTCACTCATTACTTATCCCAGATTAGCCGAAAATACAAATCACCACAAGTGTGATAGTTATTCAACAGGCAAATGATTAAAAGCTTTATCATTGACCCCTGCCCGCATTCTGTTCTGTTCTCCAGGGGCTTTTGATGTCAGATAATATTGCTATTCAATCTCCATTAAACTGACATCTTCCATAGTGTGATTGTGTTTAGAATGCAATGCTCCTAATTTTAATTCAGAGGTTTAAAAAAGAAATGATAAAGTAGCATCCATTATAAAAAAATAATGGAGTAAAATAAGATCAAGCCATAATATTTGTCCAGTTAAGGATCTTGTACAGCGTAAAGTTTCAGGAATGACTAAGTGCACAGAAATACCTAAATAGGTACAATGCTTTAAACTCAGTGGCAATGCAATTTGGCTGGTAGGTGTTAGGGGAACATTTTCAAAGACACAAAGGGCCATTAGACTCCCAATGGCAATTATGCATGTAGCTCATTTGTGCCTTTGAAAATCTGTCCCGTATACCATTTTACTAGAGTTCCACCCGGGTCTGTGCAGAATGTGTCCCAGAGTTTGGAAACGCATTGCCCTTAACAATTTTAAGGGCACAATGGAAACTGAGCCAATAGACTCTGCTTCTTATTTAAAAACGAATAAGCCAGTGAAGGCCTCCACAAATGATTCTAACACTGGTGTGTGGTGTCTGGTAAGTGAACAGAAACTGCTCTTTGATTGGTGGAGCAAGAGAGACTTCTCCCTGAATAATGACAATGAAGGCCACTTACAGGATCGCTCCTCTAAAGCTGAGGTCTGGGACACATGGGGCTACCTGGGACTCTTTCTTCTATCCTGGTGATGGTTGGATCATGGAAGACTGCTCCTGCTACCAAAGAGGACAGAAGAGGATGGGAAGCATATGTCAATAGAACCCAATCCCAGAAGAGCTCTTCTGCTACTGATGGAAAGTTCATGACAAAAATGACTTCCTTTCCAACTTTCGATCTTTTCTTCAGTGCTTACGGGAAATCACCCTGTCCTTCAGAGTTGCGTATCTATTAGTATGTCTCAGGATGCTGTACTTGGTCCCTTCTTCTTCTCCTCCTTTAATACCCTCTCCAGCACTTCAGGCAACCTCATCTGTCCTCTCTGCCTCTATTCAAGATTATTCCTAAATCTACTTTTCAATCCTTTACCTCCACCCCCCTCTCCAGTCTCATATCTCTAAACATCTCTGACAAGTCTGTTGGGATGTCTCACCACTATCTCAACTCTGCCCAAAACGTCCATCCAGTTCTTCCTATCCTTCCACCACCTCTCTTCTTCATCGCAATTGACAGTTCTACTCTTCTTACTTTCTCCGAGGCTTGCAACCCTGTGGTCCTAGAATTATAGAAATGTTGGGCTGGAAGGAACCTCAAGAAGTCATCTAGTCCATCCCAGCCATGCTGAGGCAGAATTAAGTACAACCTAGGCTGTTCCTGATAAGTATTTTTCTAACCTGTTCTTAAAAACCTCCAATGGGATTTCACAACTTCCCTAGGTAACCTGTATCAGTGCTTAACTATCCTTATTGATAGAAAGTTTTTCCTATATCTAACCTATATCTTCCTTGATGCAAACTAAACTGATTACTTCTTGTCCTACCTTCAGTGGACATGGAGAACAATTGATCTTTATAACAACCTTTTACGTATTTGAAGACTGTTATCATGTTCTCCCTCAGCCTTCTCTTCTCTAGACTGAACGTCCCCATTTCTCTCAACATGTCCTCATAGGACGTGTTTTCTAAATCTCATATAATTTTTGTTGCTGTCCCCTGCACTCTCTACAGTTTGGTCAGATCTTTTTTAATATGTGGGGCCCAAAACTGGACACAGTACTCCAGCTGAGGCTTCAGCAGTGCCGAGCAGAGTGTAACAATTACCTCCTATGTGTTACATATGCTACTTCTGTTAATACATTGCAGGGTGACATTTGCCTTTTTTACAACGGGTATCACGCTGTTGACTCATTTCGTTTGTGATCCACTATAACCCAAGATTTTTTTTTCTGCAGTATTATTGCCTTGCCAATTATTCCCCATTTTGTTATTTGTGCATATGACTTTTCCCCTCGTAAGTGTAGTACTTTGTGCTTCTATCTCCTCACATAATAGTACCTCATTAACATCTTATCAGCAAAATCTCTACCCTCTTCAGTATCCCTGCTGCTAAAACCCTTCTCTGTACCTGGTCATCTCTCTCCTTGACTTTTGTATCTTTCTTTGTAGCCTCCCTGATTCTCACCTGCCCTCCCACCAATCTATCCAACATGACTGCGAAAGCCCTTTTCCTTTCCAACTGCTCTGAGTAGCATCACTCTCCTTTATTGACTTCGCTTGCTTCCTGTTTCTCCCCCCATTAAACTGTCTTTTCCCAGGAACCTTTGTTGTCCTCTTGTGTTCTTGTGTTTTTTGTCTTGTACATTCTATGCTGTATTTATTTGGAGTAGGGGATGTCTTTTCTGAGTACTGCAAACCCAGTGTATGTTTATGATGCAATATGACTGTTAGTTAATTATGAGGGAGAATAACAGGCATTTTGTGGGAAAGAAAAGAGCAAGCGTATCTAAAAACAGAATCTATGTGGTTTCTGTGCCTCTCTTTGGTAAGTTGTGGCCCAGTTAAAATTGGCACCTGATTAAAATGAAACAATAAAGAAACGGGTTTCTAGGGATTCTTTTAAATATTTTGGATGGTGGTGTTAGACATGTAGCCAAAACCAAGGGATTCTAACCACCTGCAAAAGGCAGGGATGCACTTGAAATATATTGTCTGGAATGTCTCATTGGTGTTAGAAAAGGGAATTATTTCTCTCTCTCTTTTTTTTTTTTAATTAAAGGCACAGGCCAGAACCACATATTGCTTGGATATTTTTGATGTGGGCAAATCACAGTGCATTATTCCCTGCTAAATAAAACTAGTTTATTCTGTCCAGACTCTTAAAGTGCTTTTATTAAGCTGGACTTAGGCTGGTTTACAGGGTAGGACTTAGGTGGCAATAAAGCCTCCAAACAGTTAAGTGTGCAGTAAGTGCTAGCCTGGTGCTGTCTAGGAGTGAAGGTACATAAAAGGTTAAATGAGAATGGCAGGCAGATCGGAAGACTCATAGCGCATCAGAAGTATTATATGGTGTCAAAAGTGAAACTCAAAGGAAACTTCACCTCAGATATTAAGTGTGAATGGGACTATATAAAAAAATAGGGAAAAGTGGGTAAAACATCAGAGTAGCTATGTGTCTATATATTCTAGCAGAGGTCACTATAGTTGACTTTTCAATAGACTTCCATACTAACAGCCCGTTTTCAATCACTTATTATAACTTATTGAAACTCATGGTTTGGGCTGATATTTCCCAGGCTTGGCTTTTCCCTCAAGGTGAATTGTTTAGCAAAGTTTGAGGAAAAATGTCTCAGCCTTTTGAGTGTGAGGAGAATGGAGAATAAGTACACTTTCCCCCTTAGAATAAAATCCTTCCAACCTTGTACTGTGCAGCTATTCTAAGAAGCAGTTGGGGTAAAAAGAGGAAACTGACACTGTCTGTGAACCAATAAGATTTACTTAAATAATTGACATGGAAATAGCTCTCCCTGACAAGTGCCTTTTTAATGTTTTGACAAACACTGGCTTGATTTGCTGTTGTAATTATCCATGCAAAATTGCACTCTGTAAACATCAGTACATGGAGTTTTCTCACTAGGCCATAAAGGACCTATCTAAAGGAAACTATATACTGTGAGTGCACACATGGCTAAATTAGTCTCACAGTGAAAATGTAATGAAAGTACTCAGTGTTTGAGGAGCCCTTGTTTTATTTACTGCTAAGGTGTGCAGGGAATGAGGCCGGACTCAGCCTCACACATGCAAGAACCTTAGTGGGACTTGAGAAAATCAAGAAGGATTTGGTCCCACATCTTGCACTACCATTTAACATAATATAGCAAGGTAATTCAGCTCTACTGACACTAGAGGTCAGCCCCAAGCTATTGTGAAAGTAACACACCTACTACTAAAGTTATGATAATTCCTCTCAGAAATTTCAGATTTCATAATATCAAATGTATCTGAGCAGAAGAAGTTGCTTTAATGAGAATAGTACATGTAATGTACCACAGGGGTCACTGAAAGTATGATTACCATTAAGGAAGCACTTTTATTACAAGCCCCTGTTCTGAAAAATCTCACTGACTAGGCTGAAATTTCTCATGGGTGTTTCAGCTCTATGGTCATTTTTAAAAAAAAATTTAGTTAAACCTCTAATTAGATATTTTTGAGATGCTATTTCAGGTGTTTGAATAACTCATTTGTTTTAATTGCACTTAGCAGCAATGTTTTAGTTTATTCCCTCCTCCCCATGGAACCGTGCAGTTTAAACAGGGTTAATAACCCCTGGGAGTCAGGGGGGAATCTCAACTAGCGCTGTGAAAATCTCAGCAATTTCAGTTCGCCAGGACTTATGCAAGATTCCTTGGCTTTGATTTCCAGATTCTGTGTTTGAGTTTCATGTTTGAATGAATGCACATTCAAACTCAAAGTAAAATTTAGTCAAAACTACTGATTCAATGATTTTCACCCAGAGTGACCCAAGTTTACTCATAACTTGTCACATCTTCACATAAGTCAGCTCTGGTTTGCCAAAAGTTCATAAACATCAGTGAACGTGGAAGGAGTTTTATATTAAGAAAACTTGAAACCAGGAGAAGCTCACATGGTTTTGATCAGACAGATTTACAGGCTCCAGTTCTGATTCAAGGTTAGAGATCCTCTGCTAGTGGTTTTATGCTTCTGTTACCTTGGTCAGGCACTGTTGCATAAGTTGTTTTACATCCCTCTAAGTGGAAAGTTTGTAGGGGTTTTCAAATCCTTCCAAATGTGACAATAGCATTTTCTCTGTGGTGCTTGGGAAAACAGTGACTTGAGTATTGGATGGATCACAAAGTTTCAGTTAATATCAGCTGGCAATTTCAGAAAAAGACATGAGCCAGTAAAAGCAGAAGTGTTTTTGAATTGATTTGATTCTAGGCTGTAATATTCTCCATTGTTGTGAATATGCCGTGAGGCGGTGGCATCTACACAAATATCTCAGTGAGCAAGCTGCATTCAAAGGCCAAGTCCTTGGCTGTGCTGAGACTGCTTTGCATAGCTTTGCAAGCACCCAGCATCCCTAAAATTATCTCAGCCATCCACTGAGGGATTCTCCCTGACTAAGGGGTCCTTGGCTGCATAGAGCTGCTCTTGTGGCTCCTGTGCTGACACCCCTTCATCATCCTTGCAGCTGGTGCAGGCAGCATGGCCAAGGCATCCCTGGGCCTTGCCAATCTCCAACTGCTGTAACAGGTCCCTGAGGATATCGGTAGCAGGCATAAAGTTAGAGCAGCCTTCTCTAATTGATCCTGGGTTTTAGACCAGTGCCCAGATGGTCCAGGATTGGGAGGGTGTCCCTCCCTCCTGAACTCTACCGATTACTCCTTGGCAGAAGCTGAGGATTGGGTCCAAAATAATTACCATAAATGTATCCATTTCCAATCTGAAATCTGTAACTCAATCACAATTTCTCATACTCTGCTGTTTTGTGGAAGTAAATGCTGGCCCACATACACATACAGGGTTAATGCTGCTCTATTAGCAGAGCTTCAGCAGTCTGCTCGGTGCCCTAGCAACCTTGTGTACTAGATGTGCTAGTTGTCTTAGATTACAATACAGTGGCTTTAAAGGGATGCATCATTCTATCCTTCTTCCAAGGCTTTACAAATACACTAGGGCCTAATGCACATTTTTCTATAGTTTTGTTCTCATATCTGCCTTAATAGCACTGTAGCTGTTTCAGTACAGCAGATCTTCCTAACTGATCTTGCCACAGCGTAATTCCAAAGGCTGTTTGTCTTCCTTTACTCTAAAATGATGTTAGAGACCTGCTTTTCAAAATTTCTAATGACAAATCAGATATATTTTTTTCCCCACTGGATCTTCATTTGCACCTGAAATCTCTCCATGTTTAATATCTTTTTACTATTCCCTTTTGTAAATTGATTAAGTTTATCCTATACATTCTTGAGGGTTTTTTTCCAAGCACTTTTGAAAGTCTTTATTCTGCTTTGTGTGGCAGAAGCCCCCTGGTATCTTCTCTTTGGCTTGCAATTTTCTTATAATCAATTTTTGTGTATTTGTCTCTCAAATGAGAATATTTCAGATAATGTAGAGAGCTCTTTCTTTTCATCTGTAGAGCTCAAAGCACTTTACAAACAAGGTAAGTATCATTATCCCCATTTTATGTATGGGGAAACTGAGGCACGGAGAGGTGACATGACTTATCCAAGGTCACCCAGAAGGCTGTTGGCCCAATAGGGAAAGAACTCAGGTTTCTTGAGCCCTAGTCTAAGACCCTATCCACTGGGCCACCCTACATCTCTGTCTCCTTCTGTATCCATTGCTTGGCCAACCTGGAGTGCTCTGCCCTCTGTTTTCTGCTTTTTACATAGCAGAGAGATTTACTTTTTCCTGTCCAGGGTTTGAATTTTTTCATTTCTTGTCATATTTACAATGTTCCTTTTCAAATGCTGGGCAAGCTGAGTATGCTCCTGATTGGAGTCTGATTCACCCTGACTTCTGCAAGTGTTTGGAAACCAGTCTGTCTTCAGTTGCATACCTTTTGTGTACAGGTTGTACGCTGCTCTCCAGGCTCAGGTCCTGTCAGGGCCGGCTCCAGGCACCAGCTTAACAAGCAGGTGCTTGGGGCCGCCAAGGGAGAGGGGCGGCACCTGCAGCAATTCGGGGCGGCAGGTCCCTCACTCCCTCTAGGAGCGAAAGACCTGCCGCTGAACTGCCGCCGCTGATCGCGGCTTTTTTTTTTTGCTTGGGGCAGCAGAAATGCTGGAGCCGGCCCTGGGTCCTGTGAATTCTCCACTTCCACAGATCGTCCAGTGTCCAAAAGGGTGGCCATTTTAAGCTCTGGCTTGCTAAGAGCTGTTCTATGAAGCCCTGTTGATTAAATATGTTGCACATTTGCATCTTGATCTCACAATTAAAATAACTGAATTTATGATAAGTAGTTGGTGTCACAATCTGGCATAAAAATTCTGACATCCTGGAATAGACATTGTGTTATGAAGTGTTGTGCCACATCTTATCTGGTTCTTTAGCTCCAGACCTGGATTTACTTTCACAAGACACTACAGTTAGTAGTAAGGATACTGAGTCTGTGCTGAGCAAGGAGAAATGAACCAGAACTAAACAGAACAAGATCAGGAAGAATTTGTCCATAGGAACCCAACCATGCTTTTCCACATAGCAGAGCACTAGTGATTAAGGGGGAGATTTAGGAGCATGAATCCTGTTGACTCTCTTTTGGGACTTGTGCTCCTAAATCTTGTTAGATGCATTTTAAAATCTCCGCTAAGCAGACCTTTCTCAGTGTTTAAAATATATTATTTTGAAATGTTACAATGAGCATGTAATTTAACTGTAATTTTCTTTATAATCTTTCTATATGTGTGTTTGTCGGCTGGTCATTTTTGTTTTTGTTTTTGTTTTTAAGCTGCAACAATGGTAGAAGCAGGAAGAGACAAGAACAATCCAGATGAATTTGCTGTTGCACTTGATGAAGCTCTTGGAGACTTCGCATTTCCAGATGAGTTTGTTTTTGATGTATGGGGAGCCATAGGTGATGCTAAACAAGGACGATTTTAATGAGAAATGTACAATTTATTAATCGCTGTTTGAAGATACAATTGCTTTTAAACAATTATGGGATCAGAATTTCAATTTATTAATATGAACGATGGGCTGATGCTGTATATATTTGAAATATTCCCCTTTAAAACCTTTTGCAAAGTAGTCTTTTCTGGGTACGTGTTTTGAAAACCCTTGTATAGCATCCAGATATGCTGAAAACTACACATTTTAAAAACAAATATTTAATCTACTTTTATAAATTAAATAAATGGAACAGTTCCACGGTATCTGTTTAGTATTCCATTGATCCAGTATTTTTTTTTCTCACGTGCAGTATATTAAAAGTATTTTGCAGTTCTCTGAAGAGATATTAGACATATATAATAAAGAGCTAGGGGTATTTTATCTTTTTTAAAGAAAAGCTTTATAAAACTTGAGAATATGAAAAAGTACTCAGATGTGCTATAACTCAATAATCCTCTGTTCCCTCATGTACACTTTGCTATATATCTAACTCCTTCTTACTGTTGTGTATGAAGGAGTGCTCTTCCTTACAGAAAGTTGGGAAGAGGCTACTCTTTGTATAGGGGTGAGGTTCAGAAAAATCTTCCCCTCAACAACCCCCAAGGCTTCATTTGAGACCTGACACCCTTTGGATGGAAATGATTTATATAAAATAGGTATATCACCATATATTATCTCATAGAATTGGAAGGGACCCTGAAAGGCCCCCTGCCTTCACTAGCAGGACCAAGTACTGATTTTTGTCCCAAATCCCTAAGTGGCCCCTCAAGGATTGAACTCACAACCCTAGGTTTAGCAGACCAATGCTCAAACCACTGAGCAATTCCTCCCCTCGTCTGTAATATAAGATGCCTAACTACTACTGTGGTGAGTCTATTAGAAATGTATATGACAGATTATATATCAGTCTCTGTCTGCCATGTTGCTACATTAAAGTCTTCTGGACAACAAAAGAACACACAAAAGCCAGCTGCACCTATTTATTCACACACATACGTAATGGCAGGGATCTGGCATTGAATGCTGTGGCATATGACAACTCATGTGCTTATTAGAGTTAAGCATGTGCTTGAGTGCTTTGCTGAATCAAGATCTTTAGTTACTCCTGTTGTTTGTGTGGCTTTCTCATGAAACATGGGAGAGAGAGAAAAATTTAAAAACAAGAAAATGTGATTTGTAAAACCACAAAAAAGTGGCAGCATGGACGTAAAGGCCAGGCTTAGAACCTCAAACTACTTTTAACTCATTTTTTGAAATTGATTAGATTTCAAGTTGTCAGTGTCCTTTTAGAAAATCATGTTGTACATAAACACATTTTCTTTATCTCTTTTCTAAATCAGTAATAAAACCTATGATTATTAAAGGGGAAAGAACTTTTTAAAAAACCCAATTTATTTATATTTACTCCTGTTTACTGTTTATAAAGAAAACTGAAATGGATTGAACACAATCAGTTTCATATTCAGGTTTTCAGTGTTGCAATGTTTGGATTTTAAACAAGGCAGAAGGATACTTTCAACTGTTTTTTCATTAGGTTTTGTTTTGTTTTCTGTTTGTTTTAAATTGTGGAAGTATATTGATCTTGGAATTTATAAAAGCTTGTTTTACATAATTTAAACATGGGCCAATTGATAAGATCCCTTTACAACAAAACTGAAGAAAAAAGTGGGACCTTATCTAGACTGCAAATACTGTAGCTTTTCACTGTTCTTTTATATTTGAACAAGCATATAAAATAAATACTATTCCAAAAATAAAATTTTCTAAATTTCTGTCTAGTTCTTGTTTTTTCCCCTGTGAACGGTCAGCAGAAAAAGTTTTTCATGATCTTCCTGTGGCTGATTGAAATGGATGTAACAAGTGCTCACACATTTCATGCTAATTAAATGTTTCTAAAAATATGACACTTACAAAATGGCACAGCCTGTACTAGAACCTGAAAGGTGCCGTTTTGGGAACTGACTCATAGCTCTTGGTTGCTAAAGAGGTTGCTGAAGTAATGAAAATGGTATACTTGGTGTCCACGGAAATGGACACAGCTGCTTAGACAGCTAAGAAGACACACTTATTGGCTACACTTTTTCATCCTGCATTTTATAAAAATGGTATCTTGTGTTCAGTATCTCAATAACGTATACGATATAGGTAGCATAGATATCTGACTTAGTAGTTTGTTTCCATTTTTCATCTATACATCAATGTGACATCAAATGAAAATTGAGATGCCTTATTATCTTGCAAAAACATCTAAAAAAGGGGATAGGTAATTATTTTTCATGACTCTGTAATGATTGAGTTAGTAAAATAATGTGCCCTGACCAATGAGATACACTTGCTGTGCTGTCCTAAATGATGAGAGGATTTGTTTAATTTCCTTTGAGAATAAGTGCGTGAGAGCAATGAGTCTCAGTTCTTTTCAGAGGATGGACAATATAAGAATCTTCAAAGTTCATTTATAAATATCCTTTTAGTTTAATACAGATACTGACTTGAGCAGAACTGTGGGCATCTACTCAGGGGCTTAGGGGCCTGAAGTGTCTTTGCATGCACATGTGTTGAGGTGGCACTTGCTGGTGATCTGCAGAGAGTTGCCAGGTCACATGTTGCAGGCTCCTCCTCCTTGCTTTCCAGCTTTTTATTGCATCAAAAATGGTGTAAAATCCATACTTCTTCATATAAACAATTGTTTGAGTTGCTATGATTGGACGTTAAATGGAACGTGAGTTGTCCATAATATCTCTCCTTTAAGATGTAGTTCACGTTATGGAAACAAAGTTAGAACCCGTGATTTAACTGAGCGAGTCAAAGGGTAATTCAAAAAATGAAAAGCTAGAATTGCTCAAGATAGTTAAGTCCCAGGCAGGCTGCGAAGAGCTACAAAAGGATCCCTCAAAACTGGGTGACTGGGCAACAAAATGGCAGATGAAATTCAATGTTCATAAATGGAAAGTTATACACATTGGAAAACATAATCCAAACTATACATACAAAATGATGGAGTCTAAATTGGCTGTTACCTCTCAAGAAAGAGATTTTTGAGTCATTGTGGATAGTTCTCTGAAAACATCCACTCAATGTGCAGCGGCAGTCAAAAAAGTGAACAGAATGTTGGGGATCATTAAGAAAGGGATAGATAAGACTGAAAATATCATGTTGCCTCTATATAAATCCATGGCAAGCCCACATCTTGAATACTGCATGCAGATGTAGTCGCTCCATCTAGAAAAAGATATATTGGAATTGGAAAAGGTTCAGAAAAGGGCAACAAAAATGATTAGGGATATGGAATGGCTGCCATATGAGAAGAGATTAATAAGACTGGGACTTTTCAGTTTAGAAAAGAGACGACTAAGGCAGGATGTGATAGAGGTCTATAAAATCATGACTGGTGTCGAGAAAGTAAATAAGGAAGTGTTATTTACTCCTTCCCATAACACAAGAATTGGGGGTCACCAAATGAAATTAATAGGCAGCAGGTTTAAAACAAATATAAGGAAGTATTTTTTCACACAATGCATAGTCAATCTGTGGAACTCCTTGCCAAAGGATGTTGTGAAGGCCAAATCTATAACAGCGTTCAAAAAAGAACTAAAGTTCCTGGAAGATAGGTCCATCAATGGATATTAGCCAGGATTGGCAGGGATCATGTCCCTAACCTGTGTTTGCCAGAAGCTGGGAATGGATGACAGGGGGTGGATCACTTGATGATTACCTGTTCTGTTCATTCTCTCTGGGGAACCTGGCATTGGGCATTGTTGGAAGACAGGATACTGGGCTAGATGGACCTTTGGTCTGACCCAGTATGCCTGTTCTTATCATAGAATCATAGAATATCAGGGTTGGAAGGGACCTCAGGAGGTCATCTAGTCCAACCCCCTGCTCAAAGCAGGACCAATTCCCAACTAAATCATCCCAGCCAGGGCTTTGTCAAGCCGGGCCTTAAAAGCCTCCAAGGAAGAAGACTTTTGTTCTCTTACAGGTGTAATTCTAATAGAAGAATTCCGAAACAACTCATTAACTGCTATGGGGTTCCAACCTGCTCCCACTGAAGTTGATGGACTGAGCTTACAGTGTGCAAAACACAGCAGACAAGGAATATCTTACACTTTTAAGGGACTGACTATTGTGATTTACAGCTGGACTTACTGAGGTACCTTTAGTACTCCAGATGTCATTTCAAAGACAGAGCTGGTGATTTTATAGGATTCATTATAGTGTAATTATGCAGGAGTTGAAGGATTTATAATTAGAGTCGTGGACAAAATCTTGAGAGAGTAGGCTATGCCTTCTGAAAAATATGAAATAAGATACACAGCTGTCTTAGGAACTGAAAGTAAATAAAAAGAATAATGAATAATCCCACCCACCACTACTTAAAATCTACACACGTAAGAGCCATCCTCCCTGAATCAAACCATCAAGGATGAATGAATTGGGACAGAAAACTAGGAATTTGGTTACATCAATGATCCCACATTCAGCATCACATAGCACCGGCAAGTTGGTGGACTGATGTGTCCTTTATACTATAGCGCAAAAAAAAAAAAAAATCGTTATCAGGTGGTGCTAAAGTAGCTATCTGTATAGTCAGTACTTCTAAGGGCAGATGTAACATGAACAAATAAAATCCGAAAGTTGCACCTAGATTTGCTTCCTGGTCTGAATATTGCATACACATCTAATTCTATGCATCACCTTCTACATCATATTGCATGCTCACTTGTTTTAGATATGCATATATCACAAAGGCTTTCAAAAACTAGTCCCTCTTGCCTTAAATTGAAATATTGATCTTAAAGCCAACTCATGAGAGTAATTTCATAAAGGTGAAGCTGATAGACAAGACTCTAAAACAAAGGGGAAAAATAACAGCAGTGAAAGTAAACATTGTAAACAAATTAAAATCCTAGAACATTTAATTATTTCAAATATGCCTATGATAAATATAATTTTTTTCATTGTAAAATGCTTGCTCTAATTATTTTAGGCTTTTGCTTGATTTCAAATTACATGCAATTTTAAATGGTAACAGCTCTAAATTTGAATTTTTATTCCAAGAAGCTCTGAATAATGTAGCAAAGAGTTTGGCCTTTGATGCCAATGGCACCAGAATGTCACCCCAGATATCAGCAATAATGATAAATATTTTTGTCCTAAATCTTCGATCAGTTAGCATTCATCCTGCAATACTAAACTGTCCTTGGAGTAGAATGAGAGAGACAAGGTGGGTGCAGGGCCGTAGCAACAAAGAACGTGGCCCCCTCCGAATGGTGGCTCCCTCCGAACATATGTCCGGGTGGGGCCCCTTACAATGCAGAAACTGGAATGCGGTATTTATTTTGCCACTTTTAGGGGCCCCCTTCCTTGCGGGGCCCCCTCCGGTCGGAGGGTACGGAGGGCGCTCGCTACGCCTCTGGGTGGGTGAGATAATATCTTTTATTGGACCAAAGGCAGTTGATGAAAGAGACAAGCTTTCAAGCTCCACGGAGAAAAGCTCTGTGGAACTTGAAAGCTTGTCTCTTGTCCAACAGAAGTTTGTCTAGTAAACAATATTTCCTCACCCATTTTGGAACTAAGATATGAGAGATACAACATGGCTACACCACCATCACAAACAAGCTGGAGTGGGATGGTGAACAGCTGGATTCCACTGCTTGTCCAATGTGCAGTAAACTCAGTTAAAGGGAAGAATAGATTAAGACAACACAACTGTAGAAAAGGTAGCTCAATTTAACAGATGCACTCTCAAC